GGAGAATGCCCAGAGGTATAGCTTTGTAAAATAAAGTAGGTGAATAAAAGCCAGGATGAAAGCCGCGCGCACAGATAATCCTATTGGAAGTCATACTACAGACTTTAAGGGCGCTTCTTATAACGGATGGATATACTATATAGTTAAATATATAGATAGATATTTTCCATCAGTTTCATTTTAATAATTATCAGCTAATAAAAGTTGATGCTGTCCTCTTTGATGTTACCCGTTGTAACAAGATAAAGTATCGATCGTACTACCGTGTACTCTTATTCCTCGTGTATTATATCTCGTATAACTGGTGAGGGTGTAGTAGGTGAGCTACGATGAAATATAATGTCGGGATAAAGGGACCAAATATATGTATACTATATGGGTTGACTATCACACACATACAAAGATGAAAATATATATATCCCCTGGTCGTATATTTTAGTGCGATACGTGCATATGCAGACATTTACATCGAGAATGAACGTACCATCGCTGTCGAAAGGCCGAAAGAGCATAGTTAGTCGTCAGTCGTCGAAAATGAACGCAAATCCATTCTAGGCCAACGTGCCACGGTCTGTTCGTCAAACGCAAACCTCGACTCTGTCCGCAGCTTGTGTTTTCATCCGAGTGTCAGGCCAATGAGTTTAAATCCAATAGTGGCGACTTTGAAGTGAAATACACCACACACCGCTATCGGCAACACCATTACCCTCTATGGATACCACTAGGGGGAGAGGGGGGGGGATGTCATATAGGATTTACTGGTGAATCATCCTGCAATAAATTCATATACACCCTTAATATTATTTTACATTTTACATTTTACAATTTACATGATTAATTTTATGTTTTTTTAATTAATCCAATTGATAATTCATTTATTTAATGTTTCAGTGATAAAAAATAAGGCTGATGTCTGTTTTTTACTTCATAAAAAATTCCCCTTACCAAATGTCACATCTAATAATTTCACCAGAGAGAGAGAGAGAGAGAGACCGAGAGTAATTTATTGAATGAATAAGAGAAAATAAAAAATTAGCCAATAAAATCATTGATGCATAAGAAATATTGTCAATTGTCAGACAATCATCAAAGAAAGTGTGCTACACAGTTTTACGCATCTCCCTAGATGTTTCAGCCGAGTGAATAGATAATTCAATAAAATAAAATTCGAGGGGTTTAATTTGATAATCGAGATTTGAATTAAATAATGATTAATGAACGAAAGCAGGATAAAGTACGGTATATATTGTAAAAATAATCCAATGGAAGGATATCAAAATGACAAAAGCAGACGTCGAAAAGCTATGCGACGATAATCTTAGCCTTAGCAAGTCTTGTAGCCACCGTTAGATAGGAAAGGGATTACGAGGGTCTGAGAAAACCGGGTCGGTCAAGCCAGCATGAAATACGAAGCTTCGGAAGCTTGAAACCTTCGAGAGAGATCATTGGTGTGATAGAGTAGAGTTGCCGAGGCACATAATTACCAATTGCTTCTGATTGGCATCATCATATTGCTTGTAATCCACCTACACGTCAACACGTCTACACGTCTACCTCTAAATATCTCTAAATACATATTAGTTTACCGTAAAATAAAACCAGTAAATTTTAATTGGATAAGAGTTAATCTATAGTATAGACTCTAGTTATTCGTTGTATTTTAGTAGTAACTTTGAATTATGTATCTATATATATATATATATATAGACAATATAGAGGCATGGACTCTGTCTATAATAGAACAATAACTGAAACGATATAGAATCATTGATTGAAAACAATAATCTAGGTAGTGACCTAACGTGAGAAATGGCAGATGTATTGGTAATTGAATAAATACCAATATAATACCTAGTACACGGGTATACAGTTGTAGTTATAGTTATATAACATATAGATATAGATATAGATATAGAAGGGAAACTGTTAAACTTGAAAGCTATGTGTAGACATTAATTTAGGTCCAAAGGTGTTGCTACCAGCAACAGTTCAACCGAGTAGAGAGGTACAACCTGATATTATTGGGTGACAGCAATCGTGGTAATTACTGTCGTCCTCGATCGATCAAGACCTCTTTACCCTGTTCCCAGTTCCCGGTTTCAGTTCGCTCAACATAAACTACTAGCACCATTCCCTTAATACCTTACTGGTTGGTAGTTTGTACCCTTCTCTACTACAACTATAATCTATACATAACTATTCATCATCTCAAAAGCTACTGGTTACCAACAAACAGCCACTCTTCAACAACTATTCAAATGCTTTGGACTTAAATTACAGTCGCTTCATTTCATCGTTCTATCGGCAACTTAAACTTTCCGTGTTACACTCCTCTACTTGAGGAAATTAAAAGGAAATTTAATATATTATTTAGACAATACTATTTACGTTAGTCAACATAATTCCAATGCAATAAAATATGTGTCAATTTTGTTTTTTTTTTTTTTTATAATCAACAATTATCCCTTTTTCAATGTCCGTAAAATGTTTATTACTTTGTTTGATATCCGATAATTTTTTTTTTTTTTTTTTTCATTTTATTTGTTGAGCAAGTATGAGGCATTTCAGAAGCTACTTGAGAGGTTGGAAAGCTGTTATTGTCCTCAAAGTACTCATCGCGTCAAGGTGTTATTCCACCTTGTATACATATAGTTTTGTCTAAATGGGTACTTGTTGATGAAAGACCAAGCTGGTAAGTCTACAGTCTTAAATGCATACAAACTTTGAATTTAAATAGTTATCAAAACTTTTTATTACTCACTTTTAAAGATTAACTCGACTTATCCTCTTGAGTATTAACAATAATTATTTTTTAATTTTTAATTTCTTTCAGAGTCTGTTACTGAAAACTGAAACAGAATAATTGAAAAAAAAAAAAAAATATATATATATATATATATATATATATATATTATATAAGTCTATATGTGAGCTTGGCATAAAAAATAAAAAATATATATATATATATATATATATATATATTATGCAACAAAAATAACAGTTATAAGAATAAAAATAAGTATAAAAACGTCTTGAAGTCATCCACGTTATTCAAGTACTCTCATGTCTACCATTCTCGCGTCTAAAGTGCATGAAAACTTTTTTTTGAGGATATAAGTTCTCGCTTGAGATGTTGAAGCGGACTTTTAAAAAGGACAAAGACAGAAAATATCCACACATATATGTATCTAGGTATCTATGTATGAAGGTACAAGTAAAGATTCTAAATAAAGCAGGGGGTGGATGAAAGTTCCCTCTACTCTTTCTACCCTATCTTTTTAAAAGTCTCCCCATTCCCATTTAAACCCACCCCGTAATCGTAAATTCATGCAAAGTTGAACTTGATATAAGTTATGTAGTAGCACGAGTGACGACATCCGGAATTGGGTGTATCGTATATCGAAATGTCTAGACGGCACAAAAAAATTTTTATATTATATAAACATTTCATAACTTGAATAACTTGTACATTTGGAACCTCACCATGGAGATGACTTTCTAGACAACTTGTATCATTTTTGACAGACAATTTATTAAACATCTTTCATGTTATTAAAAAAAATAACTAGAAAACTATATTACTATTTGGTAAAAATCTTAAAAAAATGAACTTTATTTACTACTGAAAACTACTGTATATACTCACCGCGACAAAACAGTTGATCTAGCTCGTCAATCCGCTGAGATTTAATCCACCGGTTCTCGTGTTATTTACTTGTTTTTCCAGCATAGCACTAAATAAAAGTTTTATCACCAGCACCGCCACCAGTATTGCTGCTACTTCTACTGCTCCTGCCTACCGCAAACTAAAAAACTTTTATAATTAACTATTAGTTTGTTAAATAATAACCTACAAACTTTATTTACAAGACCCAATTCATTTAACTTACCAACAGATAATTATAAATAAATAATATTTAATTAACAATCTATGTCACTCTTATTTACTCTTGTCAATAATTATTATAACATCTGATTATGACGACTACGATATCGATGATGCCAAAGCTTTGAGAAATATTACAGAGAGACAAATACTATAAATGCATTCATATCAGATCTATGTAAATAATATTATATACTTTTAGTATTATTACTGAAATTATTTTTTAGATTTTGTTTAATTAATTAATTAATTAACGGTAGATGCTACGCGATACGTCCAGTTCCTGTTTGCATACCCTATTTTTATCAGTGACGTCAAACACTTGTTGCTGTATACGATAAAACCTTCATTAATTGTTAATTAAATAATCTAACTTTAATTAAAAGTATACAACGATGGAAAATTACCGGACTTTTCTACCCCTCTAGATTTATATTTCCAACAAAAGAATAAATAATTTAAATATATATCAATTATTTTAGTTTAATTAAATCATTAAAACTTTACTCCGGCTCTGCTTTAATTAATCGTTTTATTATTCACAAGTTTTTCGGTAATAATAAATGAATGACGCAACCTGCCGAGATATATATATATATATAGAGAGATGTTTACTTGTTACCAATCGTAGTCATTTTTTTTTTTTTTTTTTTTTTTAACGACAACCGATTATCTAAATATTCTATTTTTATCCTTTATTATGTTAGTAATTCTATTAATATAATAATTACGCGATAATCAAAGAGTATATACATATATGTAAATAAAAATAAAATATCATTTTATATTCTGTTAAAGTAGAACGTGTGATGTGTGATCGAATTGAAGTGAGCTTAATCTCGAGATATTATCGATATATATCGAACTAATGAAAAATATACTCCCTGATTAGTTATTGGTTGAAATTGAGACGCGCGCGCAACGTATAATTTAAATTTTTATTTAATTATTAAAAAATGAAAGATATGAACCGACAAGTGGCGAGATCTAGCGGATAAAATTTAAACAACTAGTCAGCTGACCCGGCATTTATTATTGTCACTATTATTATTATTATTATTATTATTATTGTAACTGTGTGTTAGTAAAAATAACCAAAAATAAATAAAGAAAAATGTACGTTCGAAGTACAATAGCGCTATTTATTTATTTAAATATTTTAAATACCATTTATTGTGACTCGGACGTTCAAGTTAATTTTCACGTTGATGGAAATGGATTTCACAGGTTTGTTTTATCACATATTTTTATTGTATTTTAGATTTTATAAAAATATTTAGCTAAATGCTTTTTTTTTTCTTTTTTTTTTTCACTAAAAATAAAAAAATTAAAATGATTATTTTATTTCAGAACAATTAATTATGAAGTAGAAGCGAAAAAATACATAAACTACGACTGTCATGTCGCACTATATTTAGAATTACCTCGAGAACTGTATGTCAACATTGATGAGCTAGCTGATTTGCAACGATTCACGAATGTAATTATAAAAGATACTTTGTTTATAATTTATTGAATTACAAAGTATTGAATGATGAATTTTCAGATTCGAGCGTGCGCAGTCGGAGAAACAAATGTCGAATTATTCGCTGAAGAAGCTGAACCGCAAAGAGTATCTATTTGCACAGCTTTGAATTTTGACGCGACGACGTTAAACTTGACGATTCATCAGCGGTACCAGCGTGCCGAAGAAAAAGAAGATTATGCGAATGTTATTTTTCCATTCCCGAAGCTTCTGCTTGGGTGTAAAAAACGTATCAAAGAGTACCAAGTTTCTTTGATAGATTTATGTGATTCCTGCGTCGGATTCGCCATTAAATGGCGGGAAATTTCTTATCAAACTGTAAGTAACTTAATTAAATAAACAAATTCTATTTCAATAATTTTTTTTTTTTTTTTTTTTTTTTTTTTTTTTTTTTTTTTTTTTTTCAAAGGAAACCAAGGACTACGTATGGATAATACCGATAGGAGAATTGACTCACAGGTCCTACGTAACTTACATTACATTATTTACAAGTGTAATTGGAACTTTAATCATATTTAAAGCTCTTTGTTCGGTAAATCCTGGTGATGACGTGAAAAATGACTGAGGTACTTGATTGTATTTATAATCAAAAAATTTAATTAATTATTTAATATATTTGATGAGTAATAATTCTTTTATCTTATTGGTAAATATTTACCATGTTAAAAAAAATGACTTTAATGTGTTTGTTGATGATAATGAAAATGGAAATATTTATTTGAGATCATTTTGAGTATTTTGGATGTGTGACAATTTAGTTGTAATAATATCTTTTTCATTATCTTTTTTAATAGATTCATAAGGCATCGGTTCTTCTTGAATTTTATAACTTTCACGTGCAGTTGAATTTCCAAGCGTATGTTGCGTTCCATCATTCCAAGACTGTACTGTCGCTTTGCCAAAAAATACAAATGCAAAATTACCAGCTATATAAATACCCGCGGAAAGTATGTAAACTTTTCTCCATTGAGTAATGTCAGTCTAAAAAAATAAATAAATAAGTAATATAAATAAATTAGAAAAAAAAAAATAAAAAAAAAAAAAAATACATACTGGATCAGAAACTATAACTCCATAAATTAGTGGCGCCATAATACCACATATATTGGCTGAAGCATTAGTAATACCCATAAGAGTACCGGCAAAATTAGGACTCAGATCCATGTGATTCATTTGATGACCGCTGAATACCGCAACATTAAAAGCCACCGACACTATAAGAACAACGACGGCGACATTCCGATGCTCGCTGTTAATAAAACTCAGTCCGATGAGCGCTGCTGCGGGTATACATTCTCCGACAGTGTTTGCTATTTTTCTCATTGATTGTAATGACGTGTAGCCGCGCTTAACCAACCTATCTGCCGTAAAACTAATTGGAAAACCAAGTAGCCATGCCGCTAAATACGGCAGAGCTGATACCACGCCATTCTATTACAGAAATAAACAACCAAATAATAATTTATATTTAATTATATTTAAACGTATCACGTATCACGTAAATTTTTCCGGTTAATCTTGACCCTTATCTTGCTTCACGTAAGGTCAATTTAGTATTTTACCTAGAGAATATTAATTGTAATTTATATAAAGCCTTGCTGATCGATTGTCATGAACAGCCAGACCTTGAGGACAATATACGATTAGATGATTTTTAATCAAGTGTCATCGATTATTCATTGCCTTGATGGTTATTTCATTATAAAAAAAAAAAAAAAAAAAAAAAAAAAAAAAAAAAAAATACCGGTTAAATTAATATTCTCTATTTAACAATTCGTTTTAATTATTAGGAAATTAAAATAATTGTTACCTCTTGTATATTGTAGCCCATTGCACTGCTCATATAAGCCGGTGTCTTTGTCAAGAGCATCCAAAAGCCCCAAGCTTGAGAGCACTGGGCAATTAAAAGAGCCCAAACGGGTATCGACGTTAAAATGGCAGTCCAAGGTGTCTTTAACGGCTGTGATAATAATTAAATATATATGAGGTATTAAAAATTAAAAATTAAAAATTAAATAAATAATTTATTATCTACTTCAGTTATCTCTGTTACTCCAAGGCTGATTTCAATGTATTCTTTTTCGTCTAATGGAATACCACGATGATCTCCTGGAGATTCTTTCCCCATAAAGTAGTAAATTATGGACCAAAGAGTGGCAATACCGCCCCATATGTAAAAACTACCGGGCCAGCCGATTGATGAACCAGAGATGACGCCACAACTTAGTAATGCAATCACGTTCCCCAACCATCCACCCGAATACGTGCAGCTTCCTTTAATTTTTTAAATTATCAATCAATGTCATCATCATTACTTATATTTTGATTATTTATTTAGGTTGATTTAAATATTTAATAAATATTTTAGTTGATTTAAACTTACCGGCTCTTCCTCTCTCATCAACAGGCACCCACTTAGACAAAATAGTATGCATTGCCGGTGGAATAACACCTTGACACGCCCCAGTCAGGACTCTCAAGACAATAACAGCCTGCCAGCCTCCGTAAGTCGCCGCAGTCGGAATTAATATCGTAACAACGCCGCAAATTCCAACAGCAAAGCACAGAAATCTCTGTGCTCCAAATCTTTGAGCGAGTTCTCCACCAGGTATGTGTGTTATCACGTATCCCCAAAAGAATGAGCTCAAAATCGTGTTCTGGACACTCTCGCTCCAGTCAAACACCTCGATGTCAGGATCCGAGGTATTCGGTTTGACCATTGCCACCAGCGAAATTGACAGCGCGACTCTTACAGCGTAACAACAGAAGAATCCCAGTGTCAACAGTAATATCTGGATATGTCGGCATCCTATTAATGCTGCAAGTTTTATTTACAATTTAGTATTACGAAAACTAAACGCGATATAATTCAAGGACTCTTTTTATTATAATGGAAAAAAAAAAACACTAAAGAAATTTATATTTTTGTTTAAAAATTTAAATTAACCAAACTAAAAGTATAATTATTTTTTTTTTTTTTACGGGTTTATTTATTAACAAAGTTAAAAATAAAATATGTAAGAATGTAGACGGTTTACAAGCAGATGCTCAAGTATTCGTCAATTGTACGTGTCGAGAATAATTACCTTGTGCAATCTCTGCATTCTCAGCATATTGATGCTGTAATATTTTTATATTTATTTAACTCTATCTAATCATTTAATCAAAATTGTAACATCTTATACCGCGGCTTATCTTATTTTATATCGATACATTTGATAGATATATTTTTACAACAAGATTAATACTTTATTAAGTGTTTTAATTTTAATATTAGGTCAATTATAATACAATAATAATAATAATAATAATAATAATAATAATAATTGAAATACCTTTTGGCGGATTAGGTGGAACCCTCATATTTTCCGCCCTTGAAATCCGGCGAGTTGACAGTCGAGTCATTTTTAATTATTTATAAAAATCACGGTCTATTTGTTATTTTTCCTCTTCTTCTTCTTCTTGTTAATACTTTTTTTTTTCTTTCTGGTTGCCGTGATTTTCTTACACTTTAAATGTTATCGGTAAAGTAAACGCATTAACTTTGAACAAAAATGATCGCATCAACGAGGTTTTATGGCGTTCTATATGTACGAAAAGTACCCCACTACCCACTCCAGCAAAGAGTCCGCGAATTACGTGGTTATTTTCAAGGTACACGTTGTCTCTATATATATTTATACGTATTTTAAAACATCGCAATCCCAACTATTCACATCAATCACCAGAGACTTGTGTCTAAGATTTTCTTCCTATCAATTCTTATATATTGTATCGCTGTTAATTTTTTTTTTTTTAATCACTATTACTACCTCTTTCTTCATTTTTTATGATAAATTAACAACTTATCTTTTGGTACCGAGGACAATCATGAGTGATAGCACGTGTTTTATTATCTAATTATCGATCGGTTAATTTGTAATAAAGAAAATTTATTTTCCTCAATACAAAAGTTACATTATGATTTGTTTTTTTTAAATCAAAATTTTCATTATTCATTAAAATTATATACGTTACTATTGATGATAAAATATAAATCACCAATATTAATAAAATTATAGATTTTAATATCACAATATTTATAATAGGTATATAAATGTAATTAATTTGAAATAATTTTTCCTTGATTTTTACTCTGAAAATTAGGATCATCCCATTTTTGAATTTCGCCTTTACCGAATATTATAAATATTAAATTACCCAAAAAGTAGATCGCTGCTGATATATAAAATACTGTGTGCCATTGCTCTATATTACTCTTAAAAAGAAAATTCAAATCAATCTCGAAATTTACTTAAAGTTTTGTTAATTAATTATTTTAGTTAAATTACCTCATTTTTAACGATGAAACTGACAATAATAGGAGCAAGAATAGCAACCACCGAAGCTAGACAATTTGTGATGGACATGAGAACCCCGGCAAAGTTTGGGCTTAAATCAATGTGATTAAGTTGGAATCCACAAAGTGTACCAACGTTGAGACCTACCGCAAAAATTAATATAATTACTGGCAAAGTAGTGTAACCTTCTGGAACAAATGCAAGAGCCAGGAGAGCCAGCCCAGGACCCCAGTGACCAACTGTGTTGCTTATTTTTCTTGCTCGTCCCCGTGAAACTCCTTTTTTTTGACTCCAGTCGCTCAACCAGCTCACTGGGACCGTCAGCAGTAGCATAGCCAGATAAGGTAATGCTGATATCAGTCCATTCTATAATTTTCGATTCTATTAAAGTAATTATTGATAAAGCGCTCGATAGTTTATTACCTCTTTAAAGTCAAACTTTAGTACATTGGCCATATAAGTTGGTAGCTCTGTCAACAACATCCAAAATCCCCAGTTTTGTCCGCAGTGAGCTATCGCCAGTGCCCAGAATGGCACAGAAGTAAGAATACTAATCCAAGGAGTTTTAATATTTCCCTATAAAAAATAATTAAATTTAATCAATTTTTTATTTATTTTTATTAAAATCAACTTATTTACCTTTACAGATATATCTTCTGTTGACTTGAAGAGATTACCTTCAATGAACCTTTTCTCTGTATCGGTTATCTTAATGCAGCAGACTTGACGGGTTGATTGGAGCAACAAAATTGGTGTGTCGTAGCTGCACAAAAAAAATATAGACGACCAGGAGATAGCCGCTGCGCCGAAGAAATAAAATACACTTCGCCAACCGGCGTACTGAATCAAAACTCCAGAAATAGGATAAGATATCGCAGTACCAAATTGTGCTCCTGCATACGTAATACTACCTAAGGTAATAAAATCATCAATTATTATTATTATTATTATTATTATTATAAAAAGTTTTAATAATTGAATAATTACCCAATCGACTTCTTTCAGATGGTGGCACCCACTTTGATAGAAACGTGTGTACGCAAGGCAAAAGACAAGCTTGACTCAAGCCCATGATGACTCGGCAAGCGCACGTAGCTTCCCAACCTCCTTTATCATTTGCCATTGGAACAAGTAAACTTAATATTCCATTAATCAGAACTCCCCAGCCTAATACTTGCTTAGCACTCCATTCTCTGGCTAAATATCCAGATGGTATTTGCATAACCGTGTAGCCCCAAAAAAAAGAACTCAAAACAATTCCGGCATGATCCGAGTCTATTTGATGAGTCTGTTGGAATAAGAAAAAAAAAAAAAAAAAAAAAAAAAAATCATATAGATTTATTTCATTACTAAGCTAATTTAACAGTAATTGAGGAAAATAATTTTATCAGTGTTATCCAGTTTTACCAGGGAGTTTTTCCGCTCTTATCTCTCTGTTATTTTATATGTCTTGTGTGATGAAAGCTTCTGTGATAGCATTTATTTAGGATTAAATTATAAATAAACAGCTTTTATTGAAAATGATTAGTACGATCAATGGAAAATTTATCGTCTCATTATTTAATTAAAGAGATAATATAAAACTTACGGTCTCATCACCTTTCATCGCGACAATTGCCAATGATAAGCACAATCGATTGGTATATGCAATCGTTATCCCGAAAAATAATAACAAACATTGCAAATGTCTTGCTCCAAAGCCTCCTGTAAACAAAAATAATTATTATTTATAAAAATATTTTATATAGTGCTATCATATCAGCCAGTAGTTAATAATGACATTGATTATCGGCAATTGTTATTAACTTTGACCTTCAATTACTTAAATAATATTAAATTCATTTTTTTTAATATTTTTTAAAATATTTACAATTTAATAGTAAATCTCTGTCTATTAATTACGAAACTTATATATATATATTATCTTATTTTATTGCGTAAACTTTTTTTAAAAATAATCGGCTATTTTCTATGCATATATTAGATTCTTATTATTATTATTATTATTATTTTATAACTAATAGTAAATACATTATAAATTGTTTTAATTATAAAATTACCATTTTAAATATTTATTATGTTTAATAGTGCATATAAATAATAAATTAAAAGTGTGTACCAGACAAAATGAAACTATTTCAAGATCACGTTTTAAATTTATAAATACTATATTGTAATTAATTATTTAAATTAATATTACCTGGCTTTTTAATTTTTTCTTCAATTTCCATACTTTTTATACCTGTAGTCATTTTTAATCAATTAATTTGTTAAATACTTGTAAAAATTGTCACCATATTTTAAGGAAAAAAAAAAAAAAAAAAAAGAATCAACAATTACTAATAATTATAAAAAGTATTAAGGATATATTCAAGTCTGGCGTAATTTAATAACTGTGGTTTGAAATACGCAAAGATTTTAAATGACGCTTAAGTCTCCCACTTAGCCGTTTAATGTTTAATCTCGATTGCTTATTAATTTTTTTTTACGATTAACGTTGTAAAAAAATCAATTCCGTTATTGTAACGCGGTAACTTAAACTATTGTTAATAACTATCAAGTATATCACGTGAAAAAAGACACAGTATTCGTTGAATATTCACCTTCATTTTATTATCATGATTTTCCGAGTAATTCACTTCTTTTGTATTCTGCATTTGCTTTTCATTTTTAATATTTATCGCTCTTCAAATTTATCGTTACAATTATGTAAAGGTAATTACAACTGTTAAAGTTTGTATAACAATAAACTTCATTAAATACATAAGACTCCGTGGCGCAACGGTAGCGCGTCTGACTCCAGATCAGAAGGTTGCGTGTTCAAATCACGTCGGGGTCAACAATTATTTTTTTTTTTTTAAAATTATCAAAAATTTTTTTATCTATTCTTATATCTTTTTGAATTCAACAATAAAAATTAAAAATACCTACTTATGAAATTTTTTTATAACTAATTTAGTTACAAAAATCATATATGTTTTTATTATTTTGTATATTCTCTTAATTGATAAAAATTAATGCGGTGTTTTTTCAGGATAACTGTAGATAATTAAAATAAATAAAAATTTTTAAAGACAGTAATGTTTATTCAATAATAAAAAAACATTAGTATGTTATTATAATTAATAACAGATCTCTTTACACTTGTAACATAAAAAAAAATTGATATTAACAGTCGTTAATGTATATTGATTAATGATAAAACCAGTTTTAAATGACAAAATGTCAGTAAAAAAAAAAAATATTATCTTTTAATTAATAAAATATTATCAATATTAAGCGACTCCAATAATTCCACAAACAGGAAAACTTTGATAAGAATCTTGTGCATTTTCTACAACAACTGCCCGTCCAATTACCCCATTAGCTCCAGTCAACGTCAAGTATTTACTCAATACATTTATTTGAGTTATTTTATCTTCTGCCTCAAATTCAACCAAGTCACCAATGTCTTCCAATGGATCCAGTGTTAAATGATCAACCTGTAATTGATGATATTTTTTATTTAAAAAAAAAAAAATAATTACAAGCGGTAATTTAATATGTAATAAAAAAATTATACCTTGTACGGATTGTAGTTTCCTCCACTTGATTTACATCCCTTGGAAAGAAGTCCCCTTTCATTAATATGTAACTTGTATATTCCAAAAGGCAATCCAGTGATAGTTCCGTTAATCCTCAAACCTTCTGGCAATTGTTGAAACATAAGTTTACCTTCTGGTCCATTTACTAAAATTTCCTCCTCATCATAACTTTTTATTTCAGCTACCCCTTTCTTTTCAATGTACTATATAATATAATATATCCATTCAAAAATTATCATATATTTAATAAAAGTTTGGAAAATCCAAATTTTTTAAAATAAAATATAAAAAGCAAAATAATAAAAAACAAAACTCTGCTATGGTTTAGTGGCGCCATAACTGCAAGGTGAGGAAACAAAATACTATAATAAAATGTATAGATAGATATACAAAAATCCACAGTCATATATTTGTTTTTTATAAATAATAATTTAACGACAGTGAATTGAACGCTCATATCAATTGAGAAAATCCGTCGTGTTACTTTAGATAATAAAAAAAAAATTGTTCCGGTACGATCATTTTTTCGACCAATTTCTCTGCCACATACACCCATTCATCCACGGACGTCCAAAAAAGATTATGTTTAATGTTATTATTTATTATGTTAAACAACAAAATTGTTATTGAAATATATTTTATGTGCCTGACAAATTATTTGACTTGATATAAGTATACTCATATTAATCTGTAAGTGCGATATAAATAACAAAAAATCAATTTCAGTTTCGAGAAAACTGCTTATTTTTTTGAAATGTCGAGAGTAGAGCACAACCTCAACGCTTCGCTTATGAGGCGTGCAATAAGAATATTTAAAAAAATACTTACAAAGTAATAAGGCTCCATAAGTATTTCATAAACATCACTTCGTGATCCAGGATACCCAGGTATGCTTTTAATTTGTAAAATTTTTTTATTACTCTTATTTAATGGCGGGTCATTTTTTACCATTAGAGTTCTAATACGACTCCCGGCGGTGGTTTTAGAATCACAGTCCACATCATCATTTAAAACTAGTATTATCAATAAACTAAAAATAGTAACTATTTTATTAATATTAATCATTTTTGTTTTGATACTTTTTAAGTATAAAAATATTTAATCACATTTTTTGTTTAATTTATTAAGCAATTGTGTTGTACACCTATGAAACTTTACAAGTGAATAAGTAACGAAATAATTATTACGGTGAGTATATTTATACAAGCTCGCACAAATGATGTAAAGGGGAAAGGAATACCCTTGATTTAATAACTCCAGCATCAGCATCATCATCATCATCATTGTCAACAAACAACATGATTATTCCATCGCTATTACTAATTTATTGTGTTTACTATTCACAAGACCTTGGCGATAGTGTCATACACATGACACACAAACTATTTTTTTTTATTATAATTATTCGTCATTGCTTTTCTCTATTATATTATTTTAATATAATAGATATAATATTTTTATCTGTCTTTATTGAAATAATATTTACAAAAAATATCTTTTTAAACATATTTCTTTCTTCTTATATATTTTAAAAACATAAATAGCCTACATTAAATATATATGTATTTTTGATGAATTAATAAAATGTAAAAATAATAAAAAAAAAAAAGTTATATCAAGATAATTCCAAAAATGTGTAATCTATAATTTATTAAGTACACGTGGGGTATTTTTTATCATATGAAAATTGAAATGAAGATGATAAAAGAATAATATATAAACGGATTTAATAATATCATTACCTCAATTACAAATAACATATGACCTTCATTATTATTATTGTAACTATCACACATTTTAAAATAATTAAATAAATAAATATTTATAATTATTATTATTATTATTTGTAAAACATGAGATCCTAGTATATAAACTAGTTTTAGTTGCTAGCTCCAACAGCTGTAACTAGAAAAGTGGGAGAAACACTGAATGAAAGAAAGAAATAAAGAGTAATATATAGAGATAGAGATAGGGATTGAAAAAAAAAAAAAAAAAAAGAGAAAAAACAATTTAGAGTTGGAATGAGTGGCAGACTGGCACAACATACTTCTTTATAACTTGATCAGCTCAGTAGATCAACTATATCATATCCCACCACCGTCAGTTACGGCTAACACGCGATCATTTATTAATGTGGTGGTTCCAACGATTAAACGGAACAATTTTTAGTCGATTAATCAATCTAAAGTCTCATCATAATCATCATCACAGTTACAAATTTAGAAAAAAATATTTTTTACCCAAAGACACTAGTTACAATAATAATAAATTTTATTCATTATTAATTACATTAAATAAAATGAACGCTGAAGATATTAAAATAATTTGGAAAAATGCGGATGCCGTGTCGTTTGATGTCGATTCAACGGTTATTCAAGAAGAGGGAATCGATGAACTTGCCAAGTTTTGCGGAAAAGGAGATCAAGTTACCGAGCTGTAAGTTATATTTATTTTTTAAAATCACTCACACACATACACACACACGGTAAATACCGTATTTAATTATTTATTTTGTTTTATTCTTTTTTATTAATGTGTAACGTTATTATGATACGCTTTCACAATAATTATCATATCAATTTTATAATATATACTAAATAATCCAGCTGATAAAATAAAATATTATATTATATATTATAATTTTAGAACTAAAAAAGCGATGCAAGGAAACATGACTTTTCAACAATCTTTAACAGTTCGGCTGAATATAATACGACCAAGCTTGGAGCAAATAAAACAATTTATAAAAATTCATCCACCAAAACTTACGCCAGGAATTAAGTATAATCATCATTATTATTAATTTAAATTTAAACTAATTAATTATCATTCACTAATTTTGTTAATTTCAGAGAGCTAGTCGATAAGTTACATGAAAAAAATAAAAAAGTCTTCCTGATATCTGGCGGATTTCGGTGTCTGATATCACCAGTCGCTACTCGATTAAATATTTCTCAAGATAACATTTTTGCCAACCGTCTTCTCTTTAATTTCGCCGGTTCGTTGATAACAATAATACTAATAATAATAATAATAATAATAATATTAATTATGATAAAATTTTAGGAGAATTTGGTGGATTTGATGAGAACGAGCTGACGGCTAAAAGTGGTGGTAAAGCACAAGTCATCAAAAGGTTGAAAGATAATTACAATTTTAAAACAATTGTTCACATCGGTGACGGCGCAACCGATCTTGAGGCATGTCCACCAGCGGATGCATTCGTTGGCTTTGGTGGTAATGTCGTCAGAGATACCGTAAAAAATGGATCTCGGTGGTTTGTTTACGATTTAAATCAACTCAAAGAGGCTCTAGATTAAATTTAATTATTATTGTTTATGTTTCAACATACCGATAACAATCAAATCAAATAGTATTATCAAAGACAGAATTTTTAAAAACAGTTGCCCTGATATAATAAATTTTACATACACTTATTACACAATAGTTTTCTTTTCCAATTGCAGATTAAAAAATTCATAAACTTTAATAGGTATATTATTTTTTACTACAAACAGTATTTTAAATATGTTTTTTTTTTTTTTTTTTTTTGTTTGTTTAGAATTTACGTGCATGTAAAATAAAAACTAAATAGAGTAACAAGTTTATCTTTTTTTTTTTTGTTTTGAAACTTAAAAATTTTCTTTCTCTGCATCTTTCTCTGTATCTTGTTATATTGTATATTTACACAAAAGTATAAATTATTGTAATTTATACAAAATTAAATAACTTAGAAATATACTAATTGTTTTAAATAATAAAAACAATTATTTTTTATTTTTTATTTTTTATGTCGTGTGTTGTTGTTTTTTTAACGATATCCACTCTTGAATTCTGTTGTAAAGATCAACATCCGGTTTGACCATATCCATAGTGAGAGGTGAGCGATTGAATGGATCCGTTTGGTCACTCAGCAGATGTCTAAAAAATAAAATTATTTTTATTTTTAAAGAAATAAAAATTTTAAACTTATATAATAATTACCTAGCAATTGTTTGACGGTCTACAGATATTTTTGATGATGGCAATATAACAGGATCAACCATCAACGTTGACATAATTGGATCCAAAAATTCATCAGGTGCGTCTGTAAGAATTTCTTCCTCTTGTTTCTTAATAGCAGCAGCATTAGCAACTCTAACGGCTAAATTATTCAACTCTCCGAGAATACTGATACCACCAATCCTTAGCAAAACACTTTCAGCAAGCTTGAATAGATTATCACGGTAGGATCGTCCATCTTGTGAAACTGCCAGAGTGAAATTACTGTTGCTACCGAGATTAATATATATAACACAAATGTTTAAAACTAATTTTGCTGGGTTGAATTCATATTCCTTTTGGTCTTTTACTTTAAAGTTTTTTTTATTCGGGCCAACTAATTCAAGCAGCAAGTAGTTTAACATGGATGCTATACGGTCAACCATAGTCGAGTGACAAAAAATTGATTTTATTTCGGACGTTAACATTTTAAAAGTCGATATAGTTTCACGACCAAGAATATTGTCAAACCTTGCTGTCATACCAATGTGATGCAAGTAACTTATTTTTTGATCCCGTTCGTGAGCTGGTAGCTTGTCCCATTCACCATTTTCTCTAGCTCTCAACATTTGCTTCAACTGGGCCATGTTTGATAAAGCTTCGTCCAACAAAAATACCGCGTCGTTCATCAATAAATTAATAAAACGCAAAAACAACGGTGGCTTTACGGCTTCCATATTGTCTTCAGCTTCTTTGGCAAGCCGCTTGAAATTATCACGATGTTGCTTTATTTTCCATAAATATTTCATAACAGTGTACATAGGACGACGGTAATTGAATTTTTGTTCAAATTGAACACTCTGACCGGTCATTTCAATACTCACAAATACCTCTATCAAATTTTTTACTATCTGGTTACAGTGAGGATGATTTATAAACAATTTTTCTCTGTTGAATGTCCCAAGAGACGACAAATGTGGTTGTTGCTGTCGTTGACGCTGAGAAAAACTATAATCATCATCGTCATCATAGTCAATAAAAGCACTAACACCATCTCCATCTCCATCATCATCATCATCATTATCATTATCATCATCATCATCATCATCATCATCATCATTCCCATCACCCAATCTCGATTCTGAATCGTCTGTATAAGACAATGGCGATGTATTAGGCAAAAGTGCTTCTAAAGTTTCAGCAAGCTGAGCACGAAGATGAGGATTAAACAATCGTTTTGGTGATTCCATCAAGACTATTATTTCTGTTAGTATTGGATTTAAAAAATTTTCACCCTGTTCTTCGAATGTATTTGGATTAAATCGACGTAAAAAACAAATAAATCCAATAGTATTTTCTACTATAAATTCGGGTATATACTTTAGAGTTTCTGGTACAGTCTCTGGAAGTGGGAATGTCACAAGTTTTGGTTCTTGATCTAAAAAGTTTAAATTGTTTTTCATTAAATGATTTTTTTCATTATCATTATTATTGTTTTTATTGTTAATTAAATTGTCATTTAAATTGGTGGGAATGTTGATGTTGACTTGCATTAACCAAAAAGCGGTAGTTGCGTGAAATTTGGCCAGCAAATTCAATAATTCTGGAGCCAACAAACTGGCACGGTATGATAAATATTTCGTCATTTCCATTTCCATCCGCTGAGTAATTACTTGAAATACTTCCGAGTTTGAGCTTGCTTGTGCGTCATTGTAAATTCTTTGTATTCGTGCTAACTCTTGATTTGTCTTCATCAATTTATCAAGAACAACACGATAACCTAAATCTAACGCCCTGTGGGTCAAATAAAAACATTCAGTAACAAATCCAAATGTAATACTAGCTGCTGCAATAGTATCAGATTTATCATCACTACTACTACTACTACTACTACTACTACTACTATTATTATCACCATCACCATCACCATCATCATCATCATCATCGTCATCAGCGATAGTTATTGTTGTCGTAGATGGAATAAGACATGTTTCTTTGTTAATACCCACTAGATGAATACCTCTTGTCCGTCGTTCATCTTCAGTCAATGTTTCAACAGCTGCCGCACAATAAGTAGGATCTATTTTAGGAGTTTTTTTTAATGTACAAAACGGCTGACACAGTCTCAGCAAAACATTACCAAGATTCAGCATAAAACCATCAGAAACTACCAACGGTGAGAGTCCATTTCCACCAATACTTGTTTGGGAATTATTCCAGAGTTTACCACGACTGGCATTTGCTTGCAAACATTTACCAATCCAGTCAAGAGTCAAGTGTCTTACCTCTGAAGAACATTTTAACAAACAATGGATAACTTTGTACAATGACTCACAAAGAGCGTTCATTGCTGTCCATATATTTCCTTCAGTGGTTGTTATTGTCGGTTGGATCAACGGTTTGTCGTTGAAAAAATCAAAAGGTTCTCCAAATGTCTTTGGCAAACAGCTCAGCGATAATAAACTACCTAATAAAGTACTTCCGTAGATTGAACCTTGTACACTTGTCGTCGTCGTCGTCGTCGTCGTCGTCGTCGTCGTTGATGATAATATTGGAGTAGAGTAACTGATTAAAACTTTTGCCAATGGCTCAATATTTGAAAATGTATGGATAATATTGAACCAATACTGACGATAAACTATAAGATTGCTGTTGGTTACTTCTTGGTGAATAAATTCCAAAATTGGTTTAAATGACGACATGAATATGTGTTGAGCATCTTCGGGATAGTCTGTCATTATAATGGCTGCCAATTCCTGAGTGAATTTTTCAACTTGGCTCGACTGCGAATCATCCATGAATAATCTTAAAAATTGTGAATGAACCTGAAATTAAATTAAATTGAAATAATTTAATAAAGAATTGAAATGAAAAAAGAAAAAACAAACCTCTTGATCTTGAAAAATATCTGGTTGCAATGCTGTACCAGCGGATCGAAGAGTTATTCGCTTAAAATTTTCAACAATATCATTGTCTGCTTTATTTTGTTGTTCAAGCCTACAATAACACTCAAAAAGATACGTTATAACTTCTGATTGGAGAAAATGAGGATCAGCAGTTGCAGGTCCTTTTTCAGGAACTAACTTGCTAGGTATATCGAGCAATGTCAGACGCTCAAAAATACCATTTTCAATGTCATCACTGTCAATAGAGACCAATTGCTGTTTACTACCTCGACAGGGAGTTTTACAATTTAAAAGCAAACCAAATACTTTTTGGATTATTTCGTCCTCCCGATCATTATTTTCATGATTTACTTTACCAGTTTCGACATTATTTTCATTTAAATAAACACTATCATCATCATCTTCATCTTGAACACTTGACACAGGTTGGCTAATAGCTGATGGTGTTGTTGTCACGGGGTCAATAGTTGTTGCTTGCGATAAAAATGAGGCAGCTTCGTTGGGTGTCGTAAATAAACCGACGAATGGATTTTTATTAAAATCATCACTCATTTTTATTTTTTATTTATTATTATTATTATTATTATTATTATTATTATTATTATTATTATTATTATTATTTTACACTCGTGTACGTACTGGGTATTGACATTCTGAAAAGATGATACGAAAAAAAAACGTTATCAATATCTCTTTATTTCTATGTATTAAAATAATATAATTGAGTAAATAAACATACCTATTACAACATAGATATTTATTTATTTTTCCTCCAAAGTAATGTTAATGTTAAATTTATTATCAATGACAAATCATAATTCAACACATATTGCATGTACTATATATCCATATATAATTTAACATGTATAAATAATTATTTATGTATTTTTTGACCACGACAGTCGTTCTTCAACAGTTATTATGATTATTATTTATTTATTTTTTTTTAATATCAAAAGTGACATCTGTTTTATTTTTTATCAACATACATAAGTATAACTCTCAATGATAGAATTTCAAAATATTCAAAATATAATATTCTTTACATTGTAAATTTTCTGAACAATCATTAAATAAAAAATAATAAATTTATTTTCATTGTTGTTTATGGACTTACCTATAATAAATATTCCTTATTAACTTAATCACATTATCATTGTCTGTCTTGAAAGTAACAATTAGAATAAATGAAAAAATGTACATAGATTAAGAACCAAGATCTACCATATTTTTGTATATAGATGGATGTTTACATTTTTTTTTAAGGCTGTGTTATTATCATCAATTTAGCCCAACGCTACAGTTCCCGCACCTATCATATTTCGGTAAAAAACTTGACAGCAGCGCCCTACTTGCAAGCAAAAGGCGCCGAGTTCAAATATTTTATCCGTAAAATATTTAATAATGAATTCTAATGGCAGAAAAACATTTTGACAATTTGTCAATATTCCGTATTATTAATTACTTAATGTCAAATATACATGTATATATATTTTTTATTAATATTTTCAATGATAAACAATGTTCAATAAATATAATAAGATCATCAATAAATAGTTTTTCTAATTGGATCGAACCAGTGAAATACTTGTTGAACAGGAGTTGTTCTAAAAATATAAATTAATTTAAATTCGTCATCTATACTGTGTGCTGATTTAGTAGAAGAAGAGATACTTGTTATTACCAAAATGTATTTTCAAGTACCATTGTCATTTAATTGAATTTAATTGCAATACAAATAAAAACTAAAATAAATAATTTCATATCTATATATGCTTATATATATATATATATATATATATATAATAAAATGACTGGAAGTTATTTTTGCTTACGCTATATACTTTTGAGTTGTTTTATTTTTCTCGGGGTAAGTCTTTCGTCAGCAATATAATAACCATTACAACTAAATTGAAATATAATGATAATAATTTTTTTTTTTAAAGATTTTAGGTTTAATTATTTGTGCAATAAGCAGTCTGTTTGTTTACCAACTCCACGAGCACAATTATTTAACTTTTAACAATGATACTTTGATAATTCATTATATTAAAGGATCATCATCACCTCCAATCATACTTGTAATTACAGGATTAATAACATTTGCATTTGTTACGTACTTTTGGTATATCATTGACTACAAATACAATCGGCGGCAAATAATGACCGTGAGTGTATTTTAGAAAAAAATTTATAGATTATTCTTTTTTTTTTTTTTTTTTACACTATATAAATTGTTAAAATTTATTTAAATTATATTTATAGTTTCTGCTAACATTTACTTTGATATCAATAATTGAAATTTCGATTGGCATATGGGTGTTGATAATTCACGAAAAATTAGGCGTTTTACTGGTAACAAGCTTAAAAAAAACATTGTCAATACCGGCGAAATTAAAACAACAGACATTTCTGTCATCATTCAAAGCAGGAATAAACAATATCAAGGTAATTGCGGTTTTAATATATATCGCATTAATACATATAAATACAATATCTAAGTATTATATAATTTAAATTTATTCAGTTAATTTGCTGTGGATACAATGAAACGTCAACACCTGAATTTGAAGAATTGACATCTTGGTTTTGTTGCAATTTCCAAAGACTCAACAGTGAATCAAGAACAGTATGCGAAGATGTTTATGGAAAAGAATGCCAACATTTAGCTATACACTCTATTCGCTCGATACTTTTACATATTTTCTTATTAACTCTTTGTTCAATAATTATCGAGGTAAAATATTTAATTGTCCATATATTTGGTTATTTAAATTATTAATATAAAATATTTATACAAATTTGTTAAATTTCAGACTCTGCTTATTGTTATCATATTCTGTTGCATTAAACTATTAATGAAGAAAAAAATACCAAGGCGAATAGAATTAGCCCTACAAAAACCATCGGCCCCGCTTAATGATTCTGATGGTACGAATTAATTGTTGTAGCAGTTGTTTTAATTATACTACCAAGAAGTGATAAAATTTTTATTATTGACTTTTATTGAGTCATCATTCAGGTATATTATCTAATTAGTATGTGTGTCACCATTTTTGATTTATAAAATTATCTTATCGAACATTTGACAAATTACTCACGACGAAGATTAATCTAAACGATATAGTAAGCAACAGGTATATATAATATATACACATATATATATATCTATATATTTATATAAAAAAAATTGAATTCTTGAAATTATTAACTCGGGTGGGGCATTTCGGATAATACTTGTACATTCATATATATAGAATAATAATCATTGTTATCTTTGTATTTTTTTTCATCGCTAAAATATATTTCCACAATTCATATAGTATATATACTATAGCATACAGAAATATACTCATCCAATACAGAGCGGTAAAAGTGGGTACAAGACTGATATGAAGACCAGTATAGAGAAGAGTGGTAAATAAAAAGTCGTTGCAATTGGAGATTGTGACGTTATTGTGCTGTGACACACCACCAGCAGTTGAATAACTCGTATACACAAGATTAATTAAAACCTACATAATATATATATATATATATATATATATATATATATATAAATTTTTTTTCTTTTAAATAATCATCACTTTTACTAATATATTTATTATTAATAATATTTATTTTATTTTTTTCATATCAGGTATCAAGTTTTATTAATAAAATTTTTATTTTATATATTTATGGGGAAAACAATGATGATGATAATATAATAATAATAATAATAATAATACTAATTATACTGATGACGCTACAAGTTATAAGTTGACAAAGAAAAAGACCGGTCGATCAATTTTACCGTTAAAGATATTTACGTCATGGTTTTATACCTCTAGAAATAATAATAAAAATATTTCATAAGAAGATAATATAGGTAAAATAAAAAAATAACAATTTGACAGATAAAAGAATAGCGTGTTAGTTTGTCGTTTACTGTGTATAGCTATTATTATAATTATAAAAAAATGGTTACTATATACTCAAGTAATGCGCAAAAGAGAAGCATATATATATATGATAAAATAAATAATGATATAAATTTTGGTAGAGCAGTACAATGAAAGTAAAATAAATAAGTACGTATATATATATATATAACTATGAATCGCGAGCCAATACGGATTGTATGTGATGAATAATCATCCAAGGACATGCATTCTATCTGGTGATGACGTAAGTCTTTGGTGGGTTAAAAACAGCATGTTATAGTATTATGTAGGTATATAAAAATGAGTGCAGTAAACTGATGGGGGAAATTGTTCTGGGTTCTGGTCTTCTGGTATAAAATTGTATAGCTGTAGTGGTAATAGAACTAGTAGTAGTAGTGATGATAGTGGTGGTGGTGGTGGTGGTGGTGGTGGAACCGATGCTGATCATCACTGAGAAGAGAGAGAAAGAGATCTTGATGATGAAGATGTGGATGAGGATGAAACAACAGCGATGCAACCAACCTTATGTAGAATGTAGAATGTATAATATAGTCAAGTAGTATCGGCAAGCGAGTAATATAAGCACTACGAATAGCTGCTTCTCACCGATCCAATAGTTATATATACACACAGTTACAGTCTCTAAAACGTTATTTAATTACTATTAAAGTTTTTTTCCTTTTTTTTTTTTTTTTTTTTTTATACTTTAAACGTCAATATATTATTATTAAGTTTTTTGGTTTTTAAAAATGTCGTGTGCTGTAGGATGTATCAAGTGGCTACTGTTTGTCTTCAATTTTATATTTTCCGTGAGTTGTTTTTTTATTATACACTTAAAAACCGTTGGCGTCATCAGTATTATTATTTCATTTAAATCAAATTCTTTTCTTTTACACCCGTACAAAATAATAATAATAATAATAATAATTATTATTATTATTATTATTATTATTGAATGTATATAATAAAATATTTAAAACATCAAAAAAATTGCAACACAATACTAAAAAACTACAATACATACATTGAGTGTTAAATTACATTGACCTTGGCTGATCTCTTTATCTTTATTTTTTTTTTTTTTTTTAAAGCTCAATGACAAAATTGTTACCAAGTACTTAATTAACATAAATAATTTATATTTTTATTATTACTATAAAAAATTGATATCTATATTTGCAAAAAATATTTTTTTTTCAATAGAGTATAGAATTAATACAACGCATATATTACTTCCAAGCGTATAGTTATAATATAATTATATATTTTTAGCTAAAACGGCAAGTTGTTTGGTAGCGTCATCAGATCATTCAGGCTTTATTTATTTATAATTTATTTTTTTCCTTATGCTAATTAAAACAATTTGTTTGTTTTTGTTATAGTTATGTGGTCTCGCGCTTATTATTCCAGCGGTAATTATCTACGTGAATATAAAAGATGTGTCAACTGAAATGCAAGAAAATGTAATATTTCCTGTAATAGCTATTATTATTATTGGAAGTATTATTTTCGTAATAGCATTCTTCGGATGTTGTGGTGCTATCAGAGATAGTCACTGCATGATAGTAACTGTAAGTAAATAAATTTAATATTTAATAATTATTATTTGCAATGATATATATTATAATTATGATGATTAAATCAACAGTTTGCGATCCTGCTACTGACAATATTAGTGGCTCAAATAGCCATTGCAATTCTCGCTTTTATTAAATTGAAAGGATTTGACCGACAATCATTTGACCACACTTATGAAGAAATGTTCAACGATTACTGGAAGGAAGACAAAAAAGAGGATCGTATATTCATTGATCTTGTTCAAACTGCTGTAAGTATAATTGTAAATAATAATATCTTTAAAATATGTAAATTAATATTAATTATTTTTATTAGTTGAGTTGCTGTGGTATTGAGGGACCAGATGATTTCTCAGCCAGCAGACCTGGATTCAATGGATCTGTTCCTATGAGCTGTTGTCCAATAGATTCCAAGAACCATCAACAATTTTGCTCTCAGACTCAGGCTTATCCAAAAGGATGTTCCGAGAACGTCGCTGCTTTCTTCCAACTTGCTGGTAAACTTCTTGGTGGAATTGCTTTAGGTATCGCTGGAGTTGAATTGATCGGGATTATATTCGCCCTGTGCCTTGCTAATTCGATACGAAACGCCGATCGTCGAGCGTACAGAGTTTAATTTTTAATTATCACTTGTAATTATACTATAGCTTGCAAAAAACAAAAAAGCTAATTATGAAATAATCAAAAACAAAAAGGAAGAAATAAGAAAAAAAAAAAAATGATAATTTATATACTTTTACATTTACTTGTTAGGTACGATATTTTTCTTCATACCAATATCTTCAGAATTTTAGAGCATTAGTTGAGAAAAACAAAAACAAAGTTTATCTGAATGTTCAATTATTTATAATGAAAATAAAATTTTCTACATTATATATATTCAGAAAAAAAAAAAAAAAAAAGCTTTCTGTACGTAACTTGTGTTAATATTTAATATTATTAAATGGTTTATATATTTTTGAAAATAAAAAAAGTAATAATTTAGTTTCTCTTTATATATATTTATATATATATATTGTCATTATTTATTAAGTCTCCAGAGTTTATATAATTTAACATCTATAATACATTCTATTTACAAGTTATTTGACATTTAATTATAATTAAAAAGAAATTTTATATATTATTATAATAATAATAATAATAATAATAATAATAATAATAATAATAATAGTAGTAGTAGTACCTTTTATTCATTACACTTTTATAAATTTTATTATTAATATATATATAAGTGAAATGATTAAAACTAATATTTGAAAACTAATTTTTATACTATAGCTTATATTAAGGCATGATCAGTCATTACTGAGACAAATATTTTTTTTTCTATTGCAGATCTTTGATTAAACAAAAAAAAAAAAAAAAAAAAATTACATTTGTTGTAAAGATTTGACAATACTCTATCAGACTTTTTCGTGTACAATATATAAATTATGAAATAAGTTTAAATTTGTAAGACAATTACCACAACTTGCTACTAATATTTTTAAGTGTTTAATTATAAAAGATAAATATTAATATTTACAAATAATTTTGTGAGCTCAGAGTTTAAAAAATTGGAAAAGCATTATTAAAAATAAAATATTAAAATTTTAAATGAGTTTGCATAAATTAATAAATAAATAAATAAATAGGTAGTATCTCGAACTTATTGATTTAAATCTATTTTGTATTTTTGTTTTATTCTAAGCTCATATTTATATTTTGTTATTAAGACAAAAATGACTGTGCTCAGGTTTACGTCAATAAATAAGTTAATTTAAGATAATGTGTAGTGAAGAAAAAAAAAAATTAAATGTATATATATGAATCAAGTGAGTAAACCTGGACGTAGCTATCAGCAGATTTGTTGTTTAAAGTGGCGAAACTTGCATGTAATTTGTGGTAGGAAGAAGGTTCTCAAGTTCGCTAGATGTTGTTGTTGTTGTTGTTGTTGTCTCTGATGATGACAAGGATGATGATTCATGAGAATTAATCTCATCGAGAAAGTCAAAAGATGCAACAGCTTGACGTTCCTTTTCTCCGTATCTGACAAAAAATTCTTGGCCACGTTCGATAATCGAGGGTCTTGAACAAGTGTTCCAGGTAGACGATATCCTCAACACACGATGAGCTTGAGCTGCTGACGCTGAATTAAACAACACCACAAGCAGCGGCGGGTCAACACGTCTCGAAGATTTTTTACAACTATATTCTCCCCCCTCAAGTTCATTCTTTCTTTCTCTCTCGCTCTCATTCCTAAATTTCAGCAGCAGCTCTAATGGGCACAAAGTAGTTCGGCTTAGTATTTAATTATCATCATCATCATCAATTACTATTATTATTTTTTTACACTATTATCATTTATTATTATTATTATTATTATACGAGATTAGAGGATTTATTTGAGCTCTTGATCCAAAATATTTAGTATTAGAGAAATTGATCGTCACTAAGCCGAACTACATAGCTTTTCTCGTGACAATCAAAGCACACTGCGTAGGCGCTATCATCTGAACAGAAAATAAAGTAATAGCTTTGTACAAATGTCAATGATGTCAATTTATTTTTTTTTTATTTTCGAAATATTATTTATAATTAATGATTTATGATAATAAAAGGTAAAAGATAAAAGCATTATTGAGTTAAATTATTTAGAGTTTATCAAGCAATTTTAGCAGTAAAGTATTAATATGCAACTGTTGAAAAAAATTCATTTGTACTTGAATAATAATAATAATATTATTTAAAACTTTTATAATAATTAATGCTTTTATCAAATATAAAAGCTATTATTAACAAGCGCATAATAAAGCAAAATAAAATTAGTTTAAAAGCATTATATATAATTAAGCAAACCTTTTTTTTGTCGACGGTAACGATGCAGACGATGAAGATAGCGATAATCAGGAGGAGGCTCATCGCCAGAATCACTACCTGCAGCAGATCCTGCACTACTAGATGTTGCTGAAGAGCTTTCACTGCTTGCCAACATCACGTCCAAAAGATTCGCTCTAGCCTTTAATTATAAGAAAAAAAAAAAAAAAAAAATTTTAAATAATAGTAATAATAAAATAATCAAGTGTGACAAGTGGTCAAATCTTTTTACCTTTGGGTCGGTAAAGTCAATGTCTCGTTCAACGTGAACCCATCCAGTGGGACAGCAGCAGGCTAGATCGAGTTTTTCTAATTTAACTTTATTGGATGACGAATCCTGAGTGTTTATTTGATTGTCCTCGCCCTTTCTTATCATCCTATTTAGCTCGTTGATAACGTCTTTAGAAGTGGCACGCTCGTGGAAGCTCAAAGATCGATTTTGTCCCTCAATTAGAAGAGACGCTCTTACAGGACTCACCTGATAATAATAATATAATAGCAATGTTTTAACTGACGTTGATAGTAATAATAATAATGGTGGTGGTGGTGGTGGTGGTGATGGTGATGAGAAGATGTAGATGATGATAGTTATGGTGTTGATGATGGTGATGTTAAATCATTTAATTTTAACTGGACATCTTACAACTGTACTAGGTGTTGATGAAGTAACATCTTCATCCTCTTCAGGTACTGCACCTAGCAGTGTTGTTGTTGTTGTTGTTGTTGTTGTTGTTGGAATTGTTGTACAAACGGTGGTGAAAATAGTTAAATTTGAAGAATTAAATCCAGTGTCGTTGATTTCGCTACTGCCAGTATTCGAATTTTCATTTACTATTCTATCTTGTTTTAGATTTTTGACAATTTTAATTTCATCACAGGGCTCTAATAAACTACAACTATTAATACTATTACTACTACAACAACTATAATCATTGGCAAGTAATTTATCTGAAGATTCAATGCAACAGCAGTAACTTTGATTTTTTTCAAATGACTCTTGCTGTTCGTTCAACACCGTTGTTGATGATGATGATGATGATGTTGTTGTTGTTGTTGTTGTTGTTGTTGTTACAGTTGAATTATTTTTGTCATTACAATCATAGTCTAGAACTATTAAAATTAATTGTTAATTAAAAATATTATTTTTGCTAAATGATTTAATGAAATACCTTGAATTTGAGGTTGATCAAATTTTTTGTTATCAGAATTATTTGGCATTTCAGTGAGGTACATTTGTTGCTCTGCAATAAAAGATAAGACACTGTGTAGCGCTTGATCTCGATCTGGCAGAAAGGGTTTGCCACTTTTGGAAGACGTACTGGCAAGGCTTTTGGTACTTTCAAATTTGACTAGCCGATAAAAATCACGAGTAAAGTCTGTTCCGATAGAGGGGGAATCAGGATCATCGCTCCCACAACCAGATAACGCAGCCGAGGATCTCTTACTGGAGCTTTCAGGAATACCTTCTTCGGCACTACTCCAAGATGCCCCTCCGGGGCTAGAAGCATAAGGCCAAGGACCTGTTGCTCTTGCATCCATCAAAAGTGCAACCTATTTAATTTTACACCGTTAATAATTATTTTAATTTTTTGTCAAAACAGGAATAATTTATAATTTAATAATAATAATAATAATAATAATATAGTTATACCAATTCTCCACCAGTTCGGTCAGCCAAATAACTAGCTCCATTCCATAAAAATTCATTGGCGTCCTCTTCCAATTCAATCGGATTGTGTTCTTTGATAGCTGCAAGTGTTGATGATATAATAGGATTACGATTTTCTTCTTTCCAAATTAGTGATGATGATGACTCACTTGTTAAATCCTCGGTTGACAATGAAAAACTCCAATCTTCTAACTCAGCTCTGTCATACTCTAATTCAAAGAGATCACGGTTCTGTTGAGCACTTCTCGTATCATCTAACCTATTTTTGTAATAAAATTTTTAATAAATTTTGTATAATAAATATAATTTTATAATAATAGTTACCTGAGCCATTGTTGAACGTAATCGGTATCCCATCCGTCTTCTTCAACAACAAACAACGAGGATGACTCAACAGGAGTTTGAATATTGCAGCAAGGTGAATTAGAAGTAGAAGAAATTGTAGAGGTCAATTTAAGATAAAGATGACTGTCGGAAAAGCTTCTCATAACATGTTGATAAGGAAGTAATTGTTTAGAGGGAGGATAACTGTGTCTTTGATTTATTCCAACAGTTAGATTAAGAGGAAGAAAAAGAATGGGGTCCGGATCACCAGCAATATCTAAAGCAACAAGCCGCACATCCGTCGATAAATCACCTTCAGTCTCGTCAGTTGCTTCTTTAAGATCTTCTAATCCTCGTGTTGGCTCTTGGCCTCGAGCTCCATCACCCTGAACGTCTGATGACATTGTCGAATATCCTTCGTCTCTGTTTACACTTTCAGGACTTGAACTACACTCTTCTTCAGAAACTTGTTTTTGACCTACACAAAATTTATACTTAATATGTAAAGATAATTTTATAATATAAATTAATTTTTTATAATAATTTTTTACCTATAGATCGATTGCGTCGATATTTACCAGCAGCAGCCATAACAGTTGGTATTTTAAGATTAAGCGATCTTGGTCTTGGTAAAGGAATCCAGGATCCACCACCACTGTCAAATCCTAGAGCAGCAACTAATCCATTAGGCCCTGCTTCGATTATACCTCTGATAAATTCAGATGATGATTTACTACTTGCTGTATTTCCTATTCCATTAGATGGAGTCGATGATTTTGTTTTCGTTGTGGTCGTATGAGCTATTAATCCAGAAAGCGCTCGATTTTGGGTTTCTAATTCACGTATACGTCTTTTTAATGTTCCTATTTCTTCTTTCAAACCCTGGAGTTGTTAAATAATTCATTTTAATATCATTATAATAATAATAATATTATTATAATACTAGTTAGATGATTATGTCATTAAAGTACCTTTTGAGAGAGCAATGCCCGAACTACTTGATTAGCAACATCATCGAGACACCTTTCATATTGTCTTCTTTGAGCATCAGCGTCTCTAGCAAGAGCTACGTGTTCAGTCTCCAAAGTTGCCAGTCTAGCAACAAGAGTAGCGTGGACTTCTCCAGCACAAGCAGCTTCCAAGCCCCTCAGTTGTCCTCGCATTGATTCATTTTCTAATTGAAGCTTTGATATCTGAGTTTGACATTGATGTACGCGCGTCTTAAGTATTTTAAACATATTTTATATTATTTTTATTGTTTATAATTTATAATAATAATAATAATAATAATAATTATTATTATTATTATTATTATTATTATTATTATTATTATTATTATAATACCTCATATGAAATTGTAAGCGCTGTTTTTTCTTGTTTTAACTGTTCTACCTTTTGCTTTTGTTGAAGTAATCCTCTAGATGACTCTTCGATCCTAAAAGAAAAAAAGTGTTTATTAATCCATTAATATTGCGTTTAAATGTAAAATTAGGTGAGAATAAATAAAAGGAATAACTGGGGCAATTGCAAAAGACATGACGGGATTTTTATATAAAAAAAAAAAAAAAAAAAAAAAAAAAAAAATGACAAAAGAGGATTTCACGAGTGTGAGGGAAAGCACGTTCAAGTGTCTGTCTTATTATCTACCGCTATACAAAAGAATGTACTTGATTCGTCGATAATACTACAGCAGTAGCAGCCTAGCAGCATCAAAAGTATCAGAATGACGACGTGTATGTATGAAAAGAACTATTCTCAATATACCGTGTCATTCACTTGAGTAGATCGAGTACTACTTGCTCTCATTGAGTGCTCTTGTTTTTGCTCTACCGCTTTATAAAAAATACCCTCTGAAGCTTTACAATAAAAACCACCACCATTTATTTATTCTATATAAATTATTATTAACATTTTCTAAGTTGAAATCTAAAATTCATATCAGATTTTTCTTTTTTTTTTTTAAATATTAATTTATATCTAGAGTGTAAATCTGATAGGAATATCATGTATGTATATATAGAGATGATCATTCATTGACAATAGAACGTGTTATTGGCCCCAAGCCAATATCGATGATTTACCGTATAGCAAGCGTCCGGTGGTTATTGCTTCCCACATTCACATACAGTAACGCGCTTGTTTCGTTATTTATATTTATGAGACCTAATATGAGCAAAATACTTATAAATCATTTACATCCATGTATCCAGTGCTTCTATTTTATCAAACCGCCTATTTTTTATTTTTTATATATTTTTTTTTTTTTTTTAAATGATTTTCGTTGTGCATCAGTGTGATATAAAATTAAATATAACACACAGTTTAATAGATTAAAAAAAGAAAAAAAAAAAAAACAATACCTTGAAAATTCGCGTTGAAGATGATGAACTTTCGCTCGAGTGCGTTCGGTTTCAGCCATAGCTTCTCGTGCCCGAGATTCGGCTTCCAATCTAAGGCGACGTTCCCGTTCCACATCTCGTTGTGTCGCCTCTCTCTAAAATAAAAATTAAATTTATTATTACAGATCTACTGTAATATTAAATCGAGATCAAGCAACAGACGACCATTAATTCAACATAATTTTATCAATTAAAATTTAAAAAAAAGACCTACCACTATTAATATTAATAAAAGTTAAAAGTTTGATTGTATTTTTTATTTATATTTAGTACATTACCCTAGTGAGTTTAGTAAAGTTGGCGCCCATGAGGCGATGAGTTTTTGATAGGTGCTCGGTTTGGGGGATCGCCTCGCTGCCGGGACATCCCCGATGTGATGTCGCGGAGGGTGAAACCCCTCCGCCTGGTACTCCACCCCAACCGCGCTCACGAGCGGCCACCCTGTCTGACCTTGTAGTAGCAGTAGCTTCGTAAAATTGCACTTTTCCCTTTCACCCGACCAATTATTCTTTATCCTTTTTTTTCTACTGAATTCTGAATCTGAATTCTCGAAAATTTTAATTCTTTTTTTTTTTATATTTGTTTTTTCTTTTTTTTTTTTTTTTTTTTTTTCCAGTAAAATTTTAAAACAATAAACTTTGATATTTTTGTGATAAATGTACTGAGTATATACACTGTAAGATTAAAAAATTTATTTGGGAAACGACATACGAGTTAAAAAGTAATCTGGTCTTTAACTGAACAAGATTTAATGATAAGAGGGTAAACTTACATATCAGTATAATAACTTTGGTAATATCTCTTAAAAGTTATGATATAAAAATATTATTTATTATAAAAATTGTAAATATGTTAAAAGTAAAAAAAAAAAAAGATTATTTTTTTTAGGCACATATTGATGATTTTATTTTATTACTAGTTCATTGTTTAATGTGTTGAAATTGTTTGTAAAAATTCGCGATTAACAAAAAGTGCGTCACGCGTCATGGACGCCGGCGTACTGATTGGAAGCTAGAAGTAACAGTCAGGCTCCCTCGAAAATTCACTATCACCCTAAGTTAGCTACCCCTTACAACTGCGCTTGCGTACTTTTCATTTGTTTGTATGTTAATGTTAAGTACAATAATATATATATATATATAGAATTACACATGTCCGAGAGTTTACACTGTTGTTTTACTATAACTATTAAATATTAAGGTAATATTAAAAAAAAAAAACCTCAATATTTAATTAATTTTTTAAGTAATATAAAACAGTGATTAGCCCAGCCCCACACAAAAAGTTATATTTTAGAATCATAATTGAGAAGAAAAAAAAAACAAAAGTTAGTGTAAAACGAAAGAAAAAATGAAGATAGTTATAAAATTACGAAGAAATAATCTACTATTGCGATGATTCTTTTTTTATTTTTCTTATCTCTTGTTTCAGTCTCTAAAAATATTATCTTCCTGGACTGTCGTGCCATTCAATTAACTTTATCTTGGAAACATTTTAGGGTGATATATACAAAGTCCAAAAGTAGCAAAAGTATAGCAAGGGTGTCTTGCGCACTGAAAATAAATTGTTATACCATCAGCTATCTAGAACAAATATCTGGAAGCGTTACATGATAACGTCACACATCACTAAATTACTATAAAAATTTCAAATTATTATAAATAATATCAATATCAATACATATTCTTATAAAGTAATAGAATATTATTGTTAATCGTCTGTCATCGATCATCAACAATCTTTTATGTTAAATATCAAGTATCAATAAAAATTAACAACCTTCAATTGTAGTTTAGTAATAGTTGCACGATCACGCTGGGCTGCTGCTCGCTCATTTTCTAAAATTTTTTCCAATTCTTTTACTCTTTCCTCTAGACTCTCCTAAAAAACAAAATATAATATAAATAAAAAATGTTAAATCGTTTATTATGCATTTTTAATATTTATTTTTTTCTTTTTTTATCTGTGATATAAAACGATTGCTTATAATAAGAATAAAATTATACTCTGAAAGTTATCATTAGTAATAGTAGTTTTTATTATATGACAAGCGCTTTGATATAAACGTATTTATTTTCTCACATTTTGCTATAAAAGTAATTTGTATATAATATAAATTGCCGTTTATTGATCAATTTATCTCACGTTTATGTATTCTTTAACATTATATTTATACATTTTTTAAGTAAGTTTATGAAAAAAAGTTTAATGCGTCACGCACCATTGAAGGCGTCATTATATATAAAATTACGTTTATAAATAAAAAATTTATAATGGCAAAGAAAATGCAATAACGAGGGTGAGTTTTCCCGTAAGCAACCCAACAACAATTTAAGATGTATACATACTAAGTATAAATATAAATATAAGAACGCATCAATTTAAAGAATACCATCATCTTAAATTAAATAAAAAAATTTTTCCATTTGATTAATTTTTTTATTAGTTTAAAAGTATAATTTATTCGCGTGCTGTATAAATTTTTTATAAATACACTTTATTTTAACTTAAAATAAATATGTGGAAAAACTCAAGTTTAATCCTCTACAACTTAAACGTTCCGGCATTATCTCACACGCAAACAAGCATTTTATATAATTATATGTATTATATCTGGGAAAAATCAGAGACGATTAACAAAGATTCATCCTTTAAAGAAAATACCTACCGATTTAATGTAAAAACTGTGAACAGTGATGAGTTATAAAACGCATAACAGAAATAGAAAATGATAGAGAATAATTTGTTGTAGGGTAAAGTTGGAATATTGGTTGGCGGAACCGGCGCCGACTTTTGTCACTATTGAACACATTGTGTATCCAACAATCCGATACATAATAATTTAATGAAAATATGTATACTCTTCCCCTTACTATACGCCCTTTGAAACAAACTACGTACATATTATCTATATAGCGACGGCAGTCTGACAAAAGATAAAAACCAGCATTATTATATTATTTATATCTGTAAACTCACCTGATAGCCTAACTACACGTGCTAATATAATACGGAGTATACGCAGTGTACCTATATTGCAAGGTGGAAAAGAGTTAAGTTTATTGAACCAGCTGTGGCTGTTTTTTTTTTTTTTTTTTTTTTTTATTTTATTTTTTGTTAATTGTATTTTGCGCTTTCTCACAAGGTTAAATTTTACCGTCAGCATATCACGGTCTCCAGTAATTTTTTAATTTTTTTAACATTTATTTTGTTCGGTCTCGTGTTACTCTGTCATTGAGGCAGGTGCAATTTTTGCTGTTCTTTGTTATTCACCAGGTGTTTATTAAAATTTAAATTCTCAATAAGACTTTTTTTTTCTCCTTTAAATTTGAATTATAGTATTATTATTTTTCAGTATTGCGATGTATTGTAATATAGTTGAGATAGTTTTAATTGACCCTCGTCATTTTATTGTTGACAGGCAGTCGATGCCGATATTGCCAATTATTTGTGGTTGTTGGCTGTCAACCTGCTACTGACATATACTGACAGACTTCAATGAGCACGGTCTCAAGAAAGGATATTAAAGTTAGCTTTTGCTTTGCTTCTATCAGATTCCTATATTTCACATAAACTACCTTTTGTTGATGATTATTATTATTATATATAACGTTAAAATAAGACAGTTTACCTTTTTATAAATTTTTGGTAACATTAATATGTTAATTGTTTTATAATTAAATTTAATGGATAAACTTGACAGTAATGCATTAAAATTACTAATACAATTTGTTTTATAAAATAAACATTATTATCGATTTCGACACTCTCAATAATCGAGACATCGATCAACTAATACATACACTAAACGCCTACAAAGTTTACGTAGGCGCTTTATTCCGCCTTCTTATAACTCGTAACTTTCTATCAAATTTCAATTTTTTTTTTTTTTTTAACCAGAGATTTACAAAAATGGACAGACTAAAATATTTATTATATTGAATTTAAATTATCTACTAAATTAATTTAATATATTTTTTATTATCTATTATAAAATATTTAAACAGCTTCATTTTAATAATATTATATATTTACCAGGGTCAAATATTTCTCAGTATCCTTATAATTAAATTAACCAATATCTTTATTAAAATTAATTAACTGATGTTATTGGGTGATGGTTATTCTTTCAATTAATCATAAATAATTGCATGTTATTAATTTAATTGATAAACGGTAGTTTTAATTATATTAAATAAAATTACCTTAGCAGGATCAGATTTTTCTGGTTGCTCAATACAGGTTTGTGAACCCCGAGATACAGCATTTTTTCTGTTGGTAGTGCCCTCCTGTGAAGGCCGTACAAACTCGATTCTACCACCCTCAACAACGATATTAGGGGCTGGTGGAAAATTTTCTGTATTACCAACGGTGTCATAATACCCCAAAAGACCTGCCTTTTCACCGTACAGGGGATGAATTTGTCTACAACAGTCAATTTAATAATACTCAGTAACAATAACCCTAAATATATAATAATAATAATAATAATAATAATAATAATAATAATAATAATAAAATAAAGTTACTTACCTCGGTGATGGAACAGACCGAGGTTTATCCAAAACAAAATCTGAACTGATCGATGACTCAGTTCCCCGTCCATTGGATGACCTGAAACACAATGAAAAATTAATTCTGTTATTACAATATTGTTGATTTGCTTTTTTAAATCTATTAACTTAAATTAAATGTTATACATTGATAATATTGCAGCTGAAATAAATAAAACAAAACGTATGTGAAAACGATAATAGTTTCCGGCGGATATACCATACACTCTGTTTTAAAAAACGCAATAAGACATAGTCTTGCAAGTTTTTGCTGCTTTTACTGCATTTAAAATCTTTAATTAATCGTCCATTTAAACAGTGAATATCAAAAAGTATTGAGATTCTTTGAGCGTTAATACAAAGGAAGTAACAGTCCTGGTCGATAAAATAAATAAAATTGGCCTTATTGCCATTCGACAATATTTATATATTATACGCACGTATGTACATACGTCAAACACGATATTAATAATAAATTATTATTATTAGATACTTAACATTTATTTATGGGCACTTTAATTGGTTGTTAGTTTGTACAACGAAAAGTAATTGAATTTGTGTGCTGATATAATAATAATAATAATAATAATAATAATAATAATAATAATAATAATTATAATTATAATTATAAATCTGGATGAACAAGTGAAGAGGATCAGATATCAAATTGCATATAAGAAGATCTTCTTATCCTTGTATATATGTATAATATATAATCTACAGTTAGCATATATATGTGTTGTAACTCTTTGCAAGTCGTCAACTAACGAGCGTATCCGCGGCTGACGGTTCTGCGAGTTACCAATTTATCCAAATGCCTCTCGTACTCTCTTGTATAAGACTACCAAGACTGTTTTATATACATTATTATACCATCAGTAAGTATATGTATATGAACATGTGCATCGTATACGTACGACTGTAATCGCATTCCAAGTCGCATTTCACATCTTAGACTTTTAGGCTTAATATTATTATTAATATTATATATGCAATACATACATCTCTATTCTAATTTTGGATCTTGTAAATTACATTATAACTAATAATACCGATTACTTGACATTAATTAATGAAAAGTGTAGTGTATATTCTTCTATCTATCTCTCATATGTAAAATTCATCGGAGAGTAATATAAGTATTTCTTGGAGCAAAAACAACAAGCCCCTGAAGGTTAAATCTATATAAAAATAATGTGAATAAGGATGCTTTCCGATGGTTGTTGGTTGTATTTTATTCTTGCTCGTGCATTAGATGCACGCACGCGCTCTCATAGTCGAGTCATTACGTCATTACAGAGTTACACGGTTGAATAGCCGACCTGTATACTGTATACTGTATAAAAATTATACAGAGATGGTTTTATATTCTTCAAGAAAAACCTGTCTGTTTGCCTGATAAGTTACTTTTAACTCAAATGATCGGTCTTTACTTCTATGTGTTATCCATTGATAATCGCTGATTAGACTGCTACACGGTACTCCACAAAATCCTTATACAATAAATTCAAGTAATTTTTATTTTATTTTTAAATATTAAATGTAGAATCTTAAAGAGAATCTGCGGGTTATTGCGTCACTGGTGATTCATACCATGCGGGATCAGACACAAACAAAAAGTGGGCAGGTGAAAGGTGCGAAAACTCATTTTCACCTGTGGATATACTGTTAGTACATCTAATACTATTATTTATCATTGTTAGTACTATTATTACATTATTTAAAGATAATTATTAAAATTTTAAACTATATTTCAACTGAAGATAATAACAACTTGACTCATATACGGAGGATTAAATTTTTTGCTTTTGTCTCAGTAAGCGACTTTTATACTATACTAGATGTTGAATTATTCCATTCAACATGAAAAGTTGGTAAAGTATCTTTTCAAGTACAAAAATCTATCGAGTATTAAAATTTTTTTCAAGTACATTTCGAATTATTGTAAAAATAAATATAATTTTATTATTTTGTTAAAGTATAATTATTTGAAAAGACAAAAAGCGGTACTGGATTATTCCCGTTATGATGATGGCAACCATACCAACAGCAACAACTTACCAGGTAAATAATCGTGTGGTGTGTTTTAAGTACTGAAGCAGTAGCAGCAGCAAGTTGACTAGGTTCAAAACCCGCAATCCACATAACACACATGACACGCGGACTATGGAGACAACCAGTCTGATGAGCCAGAGTACATAACGCAAAGGTGTACAAGCTCTACTCGGTGAAAGTTACTTTTAACAAAGGGTACATATGCTACATATATATCACCATTATTACATATATCTATGTATACAGAAGAATTAAATGGGACTGGCTCCAATAGTATAGTATAGAGTATCACTCATACGTTTTTTGATACAAGTGTATGTATATAATGCTCTTGCTGGCGACGACAAAACCAGACATTGCGGCTGCTGCTATTACTACTACTATACAAGTAGAATGAGGGACCACCCTGCAGAGGTCGAAGAATCGAAGAATGCGATAGTTACAACGCACGCTGGTATATAAATGTAACTTTAGATATAAAACTGGTACTAGTACTCGATATAGTGTCATCTAGCACGAGCTACATATCATATCTTGATATAAAATCAAATCTTCATGATTAGATAATCCGTCAAAATTTATTCTTTGATATTCAGAGCATCAGGTCACCAATCTGCCTGACAAACACTATACTAGTCTTTTTACACTGGGTGTGGTTCTTGTAAATATTGATGGTTACATATCAACTTCTTCCAGTTTAATTACACATATATTATAAAATTATGAGCATTCTAAAATAAACAATCACGGATTAAAATATATTTTTTTGGTTTCTGTAAATTGTTTCCCAGGGTAATTTTTTTATATTTATTATTATAGTAATAACAACTATAATGATGATTTGATTTGATGATAATTGCGATAAAAGATAATATTAGAGGTTGTTACACTCTAAAATTAGGTGTACCGACATACCGATGCAGTTGAGGGCAACGATCACGTGACGATAACACAAACATAAATATAGTTTATGGTCGGTTGAATAACACTTATTATTATTATTATTATTATTATTATTATTATTATTATTATTATTATTATTCTTGTGGTTTTAATCATGTTAAACATGTTGTTGTATCAAATCTAACGATAACCGTTCTAAATTGTTTTATAGTACTATTTTTAACCATAAAACTATTATTGATTGTTTATTTATTTAAAGTGTAACAAGTTTTGCAATTTTTAATTTGTATTGTAACATACCATAGTTCTTTTCAGAAACATATATTCTTCATTGTGTCATTATTATTACTGTCAAAACTCTGTGTTATTTTTTTTAATTGTATATTATACAATAAAAATGCATCAACTTTCAATAACCGGAAGCATAAGGTGTATGATGTTTGTCTCACCGCATATCCGGGATTTTTTTTGTCTACACCTGCGCATCAAAAACAGGGATGATTTACATCTTCTAGTCTGACAGTTGTTTACTCAAACAGAATTATTAAAAAATAAAAAAAAAAAAAAAAAACAATTTACAAGGATAAGCTCTCTCTACAGAACAGTAGATATCAACGAAACATGGTCAAATAAAGAGAAGAGAATGGATGTATACATCAAGAGAATGAGAAAATAAAGGGAAAACCCATTACATCAGTATGTATAACACGCATGATATATGTTTAGATGTACGTAGTTTAGGAGTTGTTGAGCCTTGAATGGACCAAAAGGGTTTGTTGAAATAGTTTACTATTAACTACTCCAACAACTAAAAAAAACTTTTGCACCGAGACAGAGCATCCGCATAGAAAAAAAACACTGAAAAAAAAAAAATTTGACTTGATTGAAAAAAAAAAATTCTTCAACTAAGAAAGTTTCCTTGATTTTATTAGATTAAAGAATTGTTCTTTTAAATCAAATTTAATGCTTTTTTTTTTTTGCTCAAAATACATATATTCTAATATCTATGTCCCTTTATTTATTATACACATATATTTATTTGCGGACAGACAACCCCATTTCGTTTGTTTTCTTTGGTTTTGTCATCATCCATTCCACTGGTCTTGATTTATTAATCTAAAAATTTAGAAGGAAAAATAATTAATTCGTCTTTGTCTTTGTTGATGGACATGCATCAGTGAACCAACCATCTCAAGCCAACCACAAAAAATAGTTAGCCAGCCAAGAGAATCAGAATCGGCTTATTCTATCCGGTCTCAGGTCTCACAGTGCTTGTCACCGTCATGGTCACTGCGTACACTTGTTTTGGATCTGATGATAAATTAAATAGAAAGAAATAAAGAAAGCGGAAACGAGAAAAAGATATAATAATAATAATAATAATAATAATAATAATAATTAAAAAAAGAAAAAAAATATGTATATATATATACCGCTTTTTATGGTTAAATTGGATATATTAATACTGTTACTTCCACTATTACAGATCACAGAAAAAGGATTCGGTTCGATGATAAAATTATAAATATAAATTTACACGCCTTTCATTATTAATGAATATTATAAGACAAAATTATAAATGTATCCTTTTAAAAATCCAGTTATGGAGATATATATCCGAACTGTATTTTACTTGCCCGTACAGGACCATTCCCTGTACTTGACTCGTCCTTATCCATAAAAGCTGTGTAAAATTGTCAAATACAGGGAAAGAACGTAGTCAAATACAGAGAGCGTCGACTGTAATTCCTTCTTTCCTATAAATAATCCTCTAAATATAAAGTTTATGTTAAACTTTTATAAAAACTACATAGTTAATAATTTTAATTTCTTTTTCATTGTTCTATAAATATTATATTTTTCCGTATAGTAGTCTTCCGTTAGATTAGTGTATTACATTATAAAAAAAATCCCAAAATTTGTTATTTACACAGAAAGAAAGGTTCACGTGAACCGAGAAAATATTTTTCTTCCTAATTATTTTCTTGGGCGAAAAAAATTTTTTTTTTGACACAAGAAATTTCACTTATTCCAACAAAATTAACTCTCTTGCACTAAGATATACGTATCTTGATCCAAGAAAATCTATATTTAAGTAAAGAAAATCTTGTTCTTTTGAGAAAATTCAGCTTCTTGCTTCAAAAAATTAAGTTCTTGATAGAAGTAAATTTTCTTGTCTTGAGAAAATTTCTCTCTTGCTCCAAAAAATTGAGTATCTTGATAAAAATAAATTTTCATTAATATTTTTATTTTGATTAACATGTCAAATGGGAAGATCAAATAATATTTCATCATTTTTTTTCATTCAATATGTATAATTGCGCGCTAAAATAATATAAAATGGGTATCAAATATTCAAGAGAAAAATTTTCTCAAGGTGAGAAAATTTTTTTCTCAGCTGAAGTAGGTGGTGCTGCTTCCCCAAAATATCTAAAAATCTTGATCAAATATAAAAATTTATTTTATCAAGTATTTATGAAAATTTCAATTAAGAAAAATAAATTCCACCAAGAATAGAATTTCAAGAAAAATGTTTATTTCGGCCAAGACAATTTCGGTCTTTCTTTGGGCACCCGAAAATTTACTTGAGCCAAGAATTTAATTCTCCAGTTAAGAAATCTTTTTTTCTGTGTACATTAAATTTTAACATGAATTTTGTGTCGCTAATTTTTAACGAAAAAATTGTTTTGATTTTACATTTTATTTTTTACTATGTAATTTTGCTAGCGTGATCCAACTACTGAACAGTTGATCCCCTCTTGTTCTCGCGTCGCACTCTCTGCAAGAAACGGTACTTATCCTTGTTGCACTCATAATTATAAAGCAATTGCAGTTTTATATTTTTTTTTTTTTAAACAAATGAGAATTTCGAATAAAACGCTCTGCTACGAAATGGATAGTTAAAAAATCGATTACATAGCATCAGAGCGTTTTTTTTTTTTTCGAAATTCTCCTTTGTTTAGGAGACAAATATAAAGCTGTAATCGTAGGGACCGATTATTAAGTGAAAAGAAATTAAAAGTTTCAAAAAAATTTTAATTTTTCCAAAATTCAAATAAAAAATTAGTTTAAGTTTCATGTTGAAATATTTTTAGATGTGCACGAATATTTCAACACCGCTTCGGTATCGAACAAAAAATAAAACGGCGATGCGGGTGTTAATACCACCTGAAATTGAAACACCTACACCGTATGAACTTATCACTATATTTTTATAGTGTAAAATATAATCTAGTGCCGCGGGAGCATTAATAAACAATCATAATTATTTGAATAATATTAATGTACACTGATTAATACGAGTGTGTTAATTTATTTCGTATTGTTGTCATATTACGGTAGTAATACACTGCAAAAAAGTCGGTGTAAGTCCAAGCGGTTAAGGTGTAAAAATTCCCGGTGTTCAATTTAAACACAAATAGCGGTGCTAAACTAATGAATTTTGAAATGGAAATAATTTTTTTTTAATTATAATTTAGGAAAGACAACATTTTTGGGAAACTTAAAATTTTCTTCTAAATTGTAAATTTTTTGCAAGAATTTTGTTAATTAATTATTTAAATTCCATTTTAGTTTGTTTGGAATTTTTTTTGATTAATATTAATTTAAGTATTGAATTTGATAAACTTTTTAAAAATTTTAATTGGAAATTTTTTTTTAATTTTAATTAAAAGTTTTTTTTTAAGCTTATCTTTTGTAAAATTTTAATTAAAAATTTGTGTACAAAATTTAAATTTATATTTATATAAAGCTGAAACTTTTTTTTTTATTTATTTCTTAAAAATTGAAATTTTTTCATACTATCTCTACAAATTTTTATTTCAGATTTGAATTTGTTTTATACTAACAAAAAGAAATTTACCATATTTAATTTATTTTAATTAAATAAAAATTTTATTTAATCTGAAATCTCGGTATAGTGCATGCAAGTGTTTTTCGGATTCGAATCCACATTTCATTTGAAATCACCCACTTATAACACCAATTTAACAGTATGGTATATAAAAAGCGCTTAATTACACCATCAATTTATTCTATTTTTAACACCAGTTTTTCACATTGTAATATTGAGTTCGACGAGGAATTTTTCTGTATATTATTTTTCATTATAAGTTAAAAAAATTAAGAATATCTTTATTAAAGATCTTAATAAAGAAATACATAATAAATCGATTTATGTGAAATGCTTTCAAAATTATTCAGCATCAGCAATCAAATATTATTTATGATAAAAATAATTTCTACTCAGTAGTATAAAATAAATCACAAACTCACCTTCTTTGTGACACTGCATTGTTTTTATTATAAAAGTATTCGCCGTAGTACTTTTTTTCGACGCTTCTTTTTTTTTTTTCCATTTTTTAAGATCCCAAATATCACTCACTCGAAATTTTTTAAATACTTGCTCTTAGTATCTTGCTTTTTAATTAATGCCCGTGAACGATGGTTTATTTTACAACCGATAAACTTAAATACAAAAAAAAAAATAAACTCATAGAAAAATTTAAAAATTAAGACATTCTAACGTAATTATTACTTAAATTTTTTTAATTAATTTTGAGCGTTGAAAAAAAAAATTAATAAAAAAAAATCCGCTTTATTGTGTTTATACTCGATGTTTGAATTCTTAGTAAAATTTTGTGGGCAGCCCGTAAGAATGGCCCTTGTATATAACACGTTGGTGATCTACTTTATGTATAAAAAAAAAGAAGGATTGAAATAAATAAATGTTGGACAGTATTTTACAAAGTACTCTACAAATAAATGTGCAAACAATTTCAATCGCAGTCGAGACATCTCTATCTGATGCGAATCAGAGAGTGCTTTACGATCGAAAAATTTTTTTCGCCTCATTTTGGCAGCTATTTTTATTATTATAACCTTGTTAGTTCACGGAATCAAGATATTTTGCATACTATTGTCGAGATAATTTAATGGAGATTAATTCCATACTTTTTAAAAATTGATTTACTGCAATAGAATCGGAAAAAAACACCAAAAT